AAAAAAAAAATCATTTTTTTACAATTTAAATGCTTATTTTCTGTAAGCTTTTTCACTTCTTTTTCTTTTTTCAGAATGAGCTTAGCACATTTGATTGGGGATAAGTTTAATAAACAAAAAGCAAAAAAAAGTTCTTTTTTTTTTTCTATTTGTATTGCTTTGTTAAATATTGCTATGCTAACAAATTATTGATAAAAATTGGATAATGCAGAAATTATGTTCACTGAATTGATGAATTCACGGGAACTGTTTGTATTAACAAAAGAAACAAAAAGCAGCACAAAATTTGATTTGTTAAGTTTACCACGTTTTATACTGAAAATAAATTCTGCATTTTTTTTTCTTGTCTTTTCTGGCAAATTAAAAAATTTACCTGATCAGCATTACGTCGAAAAAGTGTTACAGAAATTTTGCCATTTTCTTTGCCAGACGACTGACATTCCGATACCGATAAACTCTGATAGATCACCAGACTTCGTTTTTTAATGATTATTATCAGTGCAGCATTTAAAGCTAAAAAAAAAAATAAAAAAATAAAAATAAAAATAGTCTTTGACCGATAGAAGCAAACAAATAAACATTGGCCTAAATAATTTAGACAATTGTCAGTTGGCTTGAAAACAAAATAAAACAAAAAAAAAGCTTTTTTTGCGGTCTTTATTATCATTTCACTAAAACAGAAATAAAAAATTTTTTAAAACAATAATTGCAAAATTAAGCGGAAAAAGAATCTAAATTTGATTAAATTTTCCACTTTTTTCTGTCAAAGTTTTAAATTGATTACTTTTATTTGATAAACAAACAAGAGCAATTTTTTTTAGCTTAAAGATATATGCCGTATAAATTGTTGAAACTGAACAGAAAAAAAAAAAAACCTGTAAGAAGAATTGTTGGAATAATGACAATAAAAATAGCATTTGCAATTATACTTATCTTCACATAATTTCTGATAAACATTGGTGTATGATTTTTTCGAAAACCATTACGTACCGGATATCTGTAAATCTTTTTATTTCACTGCAAATTTCTACTTCTTTTGTTTTGCAATAAACTCTCGTAGAACCTTACTTAATTCAATCCATTGTATTTATTGTTCAAATATTCTTTTATATATAAAAAACTGAAACAATATCATTTTTTTTTCTGCCAAAAATTTGTAGAAACAGAAGAGGAAAATAAAAAAAAAATTCTGTCTAACAGATTGTCAAATTGAACAGATTGTCTTCTCACTTGTCAAGCGTAACATCCAAACATTTGCCCAACGGTTGTGTTCCATTACAGAAGATTTTTACTGTACATTCATACCAAAAATGATTATACAACGTTAATGCAAATGATAATACCACAATGGATACAACAGTGGCAATAAAACACCAACGAGACCAATGACCACGACTGTAGAATGGATATCGGATACCAATCAAACGTTCAGCGCATACTGCTACCACCAACCTGTAACTGGTTTCATTGAAACAAAACAGACAGATTGAAATAGAACAGATAATCAACAAAAAAAAAAAAAGCTAAAATTGTTGACCAGAATGTTGTACGCTTAAGAAGGCAATAACAGGAAGAAAAGTTTTGGAACAATTCGTTTTCAGTTCTTAATATTCAAGCTGTAGTTTACTGTTTCATTTTTAACTGATATATTTGTTGCCTTGTCTGTTCACTGTACAACAATCTCATTCACTGACCATATGGCTGCTGCAGAACTCCAATTTGCAAAAGTGATAAGATTGACTTTCATCGGTAGATAATACAGGCGAAAATAGTAGCTTAAACCAATTGCCGGAAAATTGGCTAATGAATGTGGTATCATCAAAAGCAGAAATGTGATATCACAGAATGCCAAACATGCCAAAAGAAAATTGGCTCTGCAATTATTATTTCTTATTATTAATGCCATTCTTATCATTTG